CCACGCCTTGCTGTGCCGTCCCCCCGGCCCCGCCCCCCCGCCCCAGCCCCGCAGGCCCCGCCCCGCCCCGGCCCCTCAGGCCCCGCCCGCAGGTCCCGCCTCTCCCTCACCGAGCCGGGGCCAGGGGAGGCCGCCAGCCTTGAAGCCGCCGCTGCAGAGCTCCTCGGCATCCATAAACACGGGTTCTTCCTCCTCCTCCGCAAGCCCCGCGCCACAGTCTTCCTCCTCCTCCGCCTGGTCCTTGGGCGGAAGCAGAGGCCCCACCAGTTCGCGCAGGTGCAGATTCAGCCTGGCCATGCTCTCTCCCTAGTTCATCCCCAGATATCTCAAGCCCGCGCGAAGCGCGTGACCGTCACCAGCCAATGGGCGGCGGGGCTGTGACTGCTGCCGCTTCCGCGAAGGCGAGGGTGGGGGCGACCCGCGGGGGCGGGGCGGGGGGCGGGGCCCTGCGGGAGGGAGGGCGTGGCCCGGCGAAGCCCCGCCCCTGCGCCCTGTCCCGGCGGAGTCCGCGGGCCCAGCTGCGGTGCACGGCGCAACCGCGCGCCCGGCGCCTGCGAGGGAGAGGCGGGCGCGCTGGGACGAGCAAGCCCTCCGCAAACCACCTCCCCGGAACAAAAACGTTGCAGGCGCCCTTCAGGTCCTCTGGCCGCCTCCGAGCGCGCGGAGACTGCAGGGGCGGCCGCCTGGGGCCTGTTCCCCGGGAGGGCGGGCAGGGCTCGAACGTGCGCCACCTGGGAGTGACTTCTCAGCGCGTGTCGTCAGGCCCGAGCCCGGGGACCCCGCTCCGTGCGGCCCCTCCACGCTCTGCGGGGCCGGGCACCCCGCTCCCCCGCAGGCACGCGGCCTCCGCCCTCCCGGGGCGGGAGTGCGCTTGCGGCCCCGAGAATCCTGGGGCGCGGGAAGCGGAGGGCGCGGGGTCTGACCGGCCGCTCCGGAGCCGGGGCCGCGCCGGGCTGCGCGTGGTGCCCGAATCCTGGTTCTCCCCCAGAGCCCTGCGCGCGCGCTTCTCCCTTACTGCCTGGATACTGTTTACCGCAGTTGCCCTGGTAACCTGAACTGACGGAGCCCGGCACACACCGAACGCTGGATCCCGGCACGGCCGCTCGCTGCGTGCGGGATTCCTCTGCGCAGATTCGAACGGCCATGGGTCGAAAATATTTTTTATAAAGAAATTGCAGGGGTAATGAGCGCTGGCGAGCTTCCCCGATGCCCACAACGGAAAGAGATTTAGGCTGACTCACAGCGGAAGGGCTGGGCGGAGCAGGGCTGCTGACCTCATGGCGACCCGGCAGCGCGGAGGGGAAGAGCGCCCAGGAGGAAGTGGCCGGGACGGATACAGCACCCACGGGCACACCCATGTTTTAAAATTTATTATTTTTTTTTTGGTACCGGGAATTGAACTCACAACCTTGCATGAGCCAGGCAGGCGTTGTGCAGCTGAGCTATATCCCCGGTCCTAGCCTTTTTTTTTTAAATCATAATTTTATTGCTCAGTGTTTAGTGCTGGCTGCCGGTCATCTGTGCAGTAGTCCCTTAGTATCCATGGGGAAATGGATACTATCCATGGGAAAACCCAGACCCACGGCACACTGCAGTAACCTGCGAGGCATCTGCTAGGGACCTCAGTCCAAGCAAACTGACACCCAAAATTAACCGGGATAGTGGATATTCATAGACTTTATTTAATTTCTCATTATTCCCTAAACAATACAGCATCGACAACTATTTACGTAACACTTACAATTAGATGTAAATGATCTAGAGTTGATTTTAAATGTGTGGGAGAACATGATTAAGGTGTCTGCAGATACGCTGCCATCTTATATAAGGGACTCCTTGGATCCTGAGTTTTGGAACCATTTCCCCATGGATACTAAGGGACTACTGCATAGATGACCAGCAGCCACCACTGAACAATGAACAATAAAATTATGATTTGAAAAAAAAAAGGCTAGGACGGGGATATAGCTCAGCAGCACAATGCCTTCCTGGCTCATGCAAGGTTTTGAGTTCAATTCCTGGTACCAAAAAAATAATAATAAATTTTAAAAAGGCTAAAATTGATGTTCACCCCCTTGGGTACAAACTGATAACTGCACCATTTACTGTTTAGTTAGCTAGTTAGTTAGTTATTGTTGGCACTGAGGATTGAACCCAAGACTGAAGGGCTCCACACTGAGCTATGTCCTCAGCCCATGTTTACTTTTTTATTTTGAGAAAGGGTCTCGCTAAGTTCCTGAATTCCCCAGACAGGGCTGGAACTCGCCATCCTCTCTGGCCTCAACTCCCAGCGTGCTGGTATGATAGTTTTGCTGCTTCTAGAAGAAAAACTTCGTTACATCTGACCAAACTCCAGTCTTTCCAAGGATCGTCTGTGAGAGGTTGAATTTCTTCCTAAACGCACATATAGCTACTGTTTCCACCACATCACTGAACTGGCTTCCATGGAAGATAAATCCATTGGATATCTTTTCTCTCTCTTTTTCTTTCTTTTTCTTTCTTTCTTTCTTTCTTTCTTTCTTTCTTTCTTTCTTTCTTTCTCTCTGTTTTTTGTTTGTTTGGGAGGAAGGAATGTGGAGGTGGAACCTAGGACTGTTGCCCTGAACTGCATCTGCAGCCTTTTTTTAATTTTCCATTTTGAGACGGGGTCTCACTGTCACTGAATTGCCCTAGCAGAACCCAGACTTTTGATCCTCCTGCCTCTGCCTCCCAGACTGCTGGGACTGCAGGTATGCACACCATGCACTGGCCTCTGCAGTATTGGTATTCACCGAAGTTCTATTCTAAGCATATTTTCACTCTGTGGCCCTTCCTTCAAATGTTTTTCAGTTATCTATCACCTAAATACCAAAGCTGCTTTTTTTTGTTGTTGTTACCAGGAATGGAACTCAGGACCTTGCTCTTGCCAGGCAGGGGCTTATGCCACTGAGCTATATTCCCGGCCCCCAAAGATTCTTGATCTCTAGACCTGGGCAAACAGCTGTCTGTTAGATATCACTACTGGATACTCCTGGGCTACCTCAAACTCAACATAGCCAAGCTGAAGCACCCATTGCCCAATCTGTCACTTGTGTGTGTAAGATACTCTTGTTACCAACATGACTAGTTAGGTGCAAGATTCCAAATGTTAAGCTTCTGGTTATATAACTCAATCGCATTTTACTAGTTGGTGTAGTTGAAGATTCAGAATGATGAGAACCTGTTCCTGCATTTTGAAAACAGTTAACAGTTATGGGTTCCAGGTTACCATGTCTGCCATACGTGGTGAACAGTAGCACTCAGACCTGGCTGTGCATCTGTATTAGCTTTCCTGTTGCTGAGACACAATAGCTGACACCCAGAACTGCAATGAGAGGTTAAACGGGCTCTTAGTTTAGGTGTATGAGGAGCGGCTGTAAGGCTGAAATGTCATGGCGGAAGAATGTGGAGGACCAAAGCTGCTGAGTTCATGGCGGCTGGGAAACAGCAGAGGAACAGTCCCAGTGAGGAAAGGGTGAGAGACCAGACAGATCCCAAAGTCACACCTCCGTGACCCGTGTAGGCGCACTTAGAGTGTGTTCCACCAATCCTCTGGGCAGATCCCAAAGCCAATCAAGTTAGAACATCCCACCCTAACTGCCAAGGCATCAAAATCACTTGGAATAATTCTGCACATGAGATTCCTGGGGCTACTCTGAAGCTACACTGCACACAACATGGACATAAGGTAATCTGGTAAGTGATTTTATAATAACACAAGCCTGGGAGCAACAACAATGTTCATCTGTAAGATGTAAACTGTAATATATTCCTACAATGGAGCAGTCCTCAGCTAGAGTCAAGAAGATCTCTGTGTGCCGGGGATATAGCTCAGCCTGCCTGGCAAGTGCAAGGTCCTGAGTTTGATTCCTGGTACCAAAAGAAAAGAAGAAGGAGATCTCTGTGAACTCATAGGGAGTGATTTCTAAGACACTACATTAAATTTTTTAAAAAAGGAGTAAAATAATTTTTATGGTTTGGATCATAATTTACCCCCAGAGGTCCACATGCTGAAGATCTTCTCACTAGTTTATGGTACCACTGAGAAGTGATAGAGCCATGTTATGGTTGATACATTGTGTCAACTTGGGGAGTCTAGAGGTTTGGCTAAGTGACTCAGCAGGAAGCCAGGGTGCTTACTTTGTATGCCTCCTGAGCCTGTGGAAGAGGAGGGCATGAAGATTATGTGAGAGCTACACGCCCCTTAGGTGGGGGTAGTCTGTTTACAAAGTAAGGCAAGAAAGAAGCTGCTTGATGCCATTCTGCCCATTTGCTCTGGCTGCATTGCTGTTCGGCTGCCATTTAGCCGAAATGCCATTTACCCCCTTTGCTCTTGTTGCTTTGCTGTCTTCTGCCTCGGAGCCAGCCAAGTATGGACTGAAACCTCCACAAACTGTGAGCTAAATAAACCTTTCCTTCCTTCATTTT